TATGGCTTCGGATGAAGAGGTTGTTCTAGATATTGGATGATTGTATTACTATTTGAAAAGGAGAAGAAACAAAAAAAAGAGAATTTCTGTATTATTTGCGAAAATTTAAATTGCTCAATTTTTAATTTTGATGTTTAATTTAGTTTGTTTGCCCGAAAAATAAGTAGTTTTGGCATATTTGGTTGCTGTGCAGTTGCTACTTATTGATGTCTCGCACGTGGGTGCAATGGTTTTTTCCCCCCCATCACCCAGTCTTGTAGAATATGTTTTTCTCGTATATTAGGCTGCACCTGGTTTTTCTCCATTTGGCTCCTAATCAACTTATAATTTTAAAATTTTTGTATTACTTTTAACATGCATAACTATTAAATAATTTAAAACGATGTAGTAATAATAATAATAATAATGCTGTTTTTGCGAATATGTTGATAAACGATTGATTTTATTAAGAGTGAATATTTCTCCTACACTTAGATTAAAAAATAAAAATATAAAATATTAAGATTATTATGTTATTTTCTACATTCTTCAAATTATCCATAAGAATCTAATAATGATCTCGTATTTACGTTAACAAATATAAATATAGACTTGAATTCATTTATGTATTATTTTATAATATTTAAATTAGTCATTATAACTAATTTGTTACTCTTTTTGTTATCCTATTTTTAAAAAATATTTATATTGATATATATTCGTTAAGTATCACTAATATTGTTAATGGATAATATGATAATGAATTAAATAATAGCCATGAACTTCTTTTTCCGGAGAAGAAGGAATGACGGTATCTGGAGAATAAGTATCGATTAATTCTGTGCCAGCAGCCGCAGTAATACAAAGGACGCAAGTATTATCTGGAATGATTGAGTGTAAAGCGTCTGTTGGTGGCTTTTTAAGTTCGACATCAAATCTTAAGACTCAACCCTAAACAGGCGGTGGAAACTATCAAGCTGAAGTACAGTAGGAGCAGAGGAAATTTACGATGAAGCAATGAAATGCATAGAGATCGAAAAGAACACCAATTGCAAAGTACTTTGCTAGACTGACACTGACACTGAGAGACGAAAGCTAAGGGAGCAAATGGGATTAGATACCCAGTAGTCATTTGATCAAGAATTTCAATTTTTAAAAAGTATTATAATAAT